TGTATCAATCCAGGATCTGATATCCGAACTTTAAACACTAACCCACCGGGCGTACACGTATGACTGAACCACAGTGTAAAAAAATCCATATAGTCTCCGGAGATGACCCAGCCCTGAGTCGAACAGGGGACTTCCGCAAGGAATCACATGTGGTCGTGTTACCCATTATACCACCAGGTCGTATATTATACTTGCACTGCTTTCCGTTCTATGAGGAAGTAAAGTGAGGCTGGATCAGTCGTGTGGTTAGCTCGTTGGATTTGGGATCGCTCGGACAGAATCGGTTTGATACATATATTAGGTGATATCATTTATTCACTTTCTTGCACCAATATCTGTGAAAGGATTAACGTTTCAAATTCAAACTTATCTATGAACATTGAGTAGCAGGACTCATTGGTAAAAACTCGAACGTTATATATATCTACCTTGTTTCTAATCGAATCAATGGGTGGTCACGTAGGAGGCCTCGTAATGGTGTACCAAGTTGTTCAGGACTTCGTTTGATAGAGCCTGTAGCCGTGTATGTATACGTTGAGAAAGGATTTGAGATGCGTAGTATGTGATCGACGAATTAGTAAAAATGTGGTTGTGTGCGGAATAAAGCATACACTTGAGTAATATGAACATTTGAAAAACGGACGTAGTCTGGGTGCGAGTTAGTAAGGTTTGAGGGCCTTGCTTCGTAACAATACTTTCTTTCGAGATATGTCTTGAGAGGATACTCGGAGTATTGCAAAATGCACTAGTCATGGTGCAAGTGTCCTATACCCTATATCCCCTCTACACCCTATACTAGGCTTAAATTTACCTATAAGTAAGGACTGCTCTGTTTCAGTGACAATGGAGACCGCCTGCATCGGGTAGAGTACACATTCACAATTCTCCTTGAAGAGTCATATATGTGGGATTCGAACAGGGCACCGTGTACGATTAAGAGTATGTTATACACCTGGAAAAGTAACTCACCAGTTGTTCTACGACAGGCCCTCCTTATATGGGAAGTCTCGTTAGAAACGGGACGACCGGCAGTAGGAAACATATGTTATCCAGGGGCTGGGATCACTTGAGTCCAGCCTCGCAGCTATCCCAGTTTTAGAACCCAGCGTCTAGCCAGTGCCTAGTACCCGGGCACTTCCACGACGGCCGACAGTATTGCGCGCGGCATAAACGTTCGGATGGAGACTTCGCTCATGGCCCGGCCCCTAATCTAATCGTGGACTCCCGCATAACTCGCATAGTTTACTGATGCGTTTACCATTATCTTCAGGAGCCAGTTGTCCAGGTGAAGAGAGGTCCATACGGCTATTGGCATTTGCCCTATTTCCGAGCTATTATACGAGGTGGCACTCACCCCCCTTCCTGCCGGGAGATATCTCATTTCAAGTGATTTTTGAATACCCAACGTCCGAACTCACTGGAGGAGTTGACTTTCCGTTTTGGCGGTGATAGCAAGATTACAGCGTATGTTATGCCATATTGAAATCTGCGTTACGTGTCTGTGGGTATTTGCATTGGGTTTAGATCGCACAAAGATGATTGGACACCCCGGCACTTCTAACCGGAGCCATGAACTTATATTAACCTGATGGGGCCACGAAGACACCGAGCCTTGCCCCGAAGAATAATCGGATGCACAAATATTAAACCAGTGCCCACTTGGTTCGGAAGTGAGGTAGTGGGATGCGAATACGATGTAGGAGACTTGTGGGCAGACCCCAGAGTGGTGCTGGAGCGTGGTGTCGATATGAACGAGTTGTCGAGACGGGATTGTGTCGAAGTATGGAATTTTCTTTGAGTGCTCTTGATAGGTCGTAGCTGAATGTGGTCATACTAACCTAGCTCAGGAGGCGGTATACGGAGTTGTACGTATTTGTTGTGACAACGGAGCCATTCGTCATCTGAGGCAGTGTTAGGGTGCGGCACCACACACATCAACTCCAAAATCCTCACCCCAGGGCTCCATTACCCAACGTTTCAGTGAACCAAAAATCAAATCACAAACTCACCTCAACACCACGCCTCCAAAAAGTCGTGAATCATGGATCCAGAAGAAAGGAAGTAAACACAGCCACACGGGAACATCCGAAGCTTCTGATTGATAGTGGCGTAGCCAGGCACACAGCCCCCAAAACCCAACCACCCTAAAACTGATTTTTTGTTCCGGTGATCGCGGGTTATTGACGACAACGACGACGATCCGGCTTTTCTCTGTCTCTTACCACTACTATCACCTTTGTTGTTGAGTAAGGAAGTATGGCTCTTTAAGTGAATATGGAGTTGAGTTCGAGCAAGATGTATGTATGGCCTTTCCTTACCTGTGAATGGAGGTTGGACTGACTGTTGGTTGGGTTGTAGGACGGGCGCCTCATGGTTCCTCACAGGTCTGTTTTCACCTTTTCCCCATCGCAACAACACTCGAATTGACGAACAACAGTGATCCGCACGCAGGGCATGCGGCTCATGCGTCCAGATAGAGAATGGCGGCCCATCGTCACCATCGACATCTGCGACCTGCACCCCCACCCACACCACGAGTACGGCCCTGGGCACGACGACGAGCACGAGTATGATACGCGCACGGATCAGCCGCAGGTGTTTGAAACGCTCATGGGTGTGGATGGGCAGAACCCGAACTTGAAGCATGGATTGTATATGTATGTTCTTCCTCCTCTCCCCTGTCTTGTCTGCACGGACCCTGTAATTGATACACATCTACGCCAGACCTGGCCCCGCGACTCTCCCTCCTGGCACCCCTTCCCCATCCGCTTCGTCATCAACTCTAACCCTCAACACAACCGTGAGCGCAACTACAACAACGAGTACACGGCCCTCACCGGCGCTCAACGCTCGCCTCGAAATTGGCGTATGGTACACGCCCCCAGCGCATGGGAAGAAGAAGGTTAAGTCGAAGAAGCGAGTACTGGTTGGGTCAGCGCAGATGAGTGTTGGGGAGTTGTTGAAGATGTGGGAGAAGGAGAGGGGTAGGGGGAGAGGTGGTGAGTTTTTTTCTTCGTTCTTTGGTTCGGTTTGAGTTCGCATTTTTTTGGTGGGTTTGGTTGGATGAGTTGAGGGGGGGGGTTGGATAAGCATTGAGTGTACGAGCCTGACGTTTGACGTTCGGTTCATGATTTACAAGATTTTTTGCCCCTTCTCTTCCTACCTCCCGTACGCTCTCTTTTTTTAACGTTTTCATCTTCCTTGTCTTATCCTTTTCCATTTCCCAGTTGTTAAACTTACTCATTCCTCTCAACCACAGCACTTGACCTCCGCCTAACATGCCACTCCCCCACCAAAGGCTCCATCTCAAGTCGGAACGGCGCACTCCTAACCGTCCGTCTCCGCGCACCTCCCGCACCCACACTGACACCCTCACCTATACCCCCCACCATACCCATACCCATACCCGAATCAGGACACACCCAAGCCAGAGTAATAGAAAGAATAGATGAGTATAGCGGGACTGATACGGGCGGGTCGGGCCCGGTCTCACCGCTAGACGAGGAATTTTTGAGGTTGACACTCCCGGTACCAACTGTAACGATCACCCCGGCGATGATTTCGCCAACTTTATCGCCTTCACCTTCGTCTCCTATCGAATCGTCCGATCCCATCCCAACACCTTCACCGACCTTGAACTCATCGACTTCACCACAGTCGCCTCTATCTTCGTCTCCACCTCCACCCACTATAGTACAACCTCAATTGCAACTTCAATCACCCCCACCAGAAGGCCTCCGCCATCGGAAACCAAAACGCAAGGCCAAGTCAAAACCGAAGATCGAGGTGAAAGGGTACACCATTGACTCGGACCCATGTCCCTCTCCCTGCTCCTCCAGCTCCTCCACCGGCTCGTCCTCGTCATGCGAGCCGTATTCTGAAGACGAAGCAGAACAGGAGCGAGAAAGGGAAAGGGAGAGAGAGCAAGAAAAAGCCCGATTCCTCGAACGCTGGTGCCACGATACCGAAGATGTCTCCAGGGGCGGGGGTGGGTGTACGTGTATCGCCGAGTGCTTTTGTGTACACTTTAGTGACGAAGGTGCGGGAGAAGATGCAGGGAAAGTAGGAGAGGGAGGGAGAGGAGAAAGTATAAGCGTAGGCTGGGTATCAGCGTCCCTCCTCCCACAACATACACTGCGCCAAGGTTCGTCTAGTGGTGGAGGGGCGGGGGTGTTGGAGAATGAGGCGGCGGCGGCCTGGAGGGCGCAGATGCGTGGGTTGAGCGTGGATGAGAAAGCTGCGCTGCCTGCGTATACTGAGAGGGTTCAGGTTGAGGGTTAGTCTCTTCTCTTCTTTTCGTTTTTTCCCACTTCGCCCAATAAATACAATTCACTCTCCTTCTTTCATGTTCAAAAAAGAATCAGACACTGACCTCGAAACATCATATGGCACAGATCCAGATGCGCTCTCACTCCCAGAACGCATCCTCGCGACATTCACGCTGTACGCTGCGCTCCGCGCTGCACGTGTGGACTCAGAGTTTGAGGCAGTATTTGCGAGGTTGCAGATGGAGTGGGGGTACGTAGGGGGATTGGTAAGTCTCGTCTCCTTTTTAAAAATTTATAACACAATCCTTCTTTTCTAAATCCATCCATTAATAGCTCGTAGCACTAGCAGCTGTCAACACAGCCGTCCTGTCCATCTCGTCCGATGCGTTATTCACAGTACACGCATACGCACGTGGGGCAGTCGCTGCGTCCAGCGTTGCTTCCGGTCTAGGAATTGCATGCGACGCGTGGTTCCTATTGAGGTACGGCTGGGCCGAAGTTGGGGTCGTTCGCGTAAGTCACCCTCTCCTCCTTATCCTTCCATCTTTTCTCTAACCGGGCACACCAAACACACCGCATTTTAACGCCACACATACAGACCCGTGCACTCGATGTATTCAACTCCTACTTCTTCTTCGCACTCTCCGCACGGACGCCCTCCCTATGTATGTTCACCGCCGCCCTATCACTCATGGCCTTCCTCGCGCTCGTCGCGTTTGATGCATGGCCGGGTGGCGCGCTGGTCGTGTGTGGGCTCGTGGGGGCCGTTATGGGGTTGCAGTTCTTGGTGTGGGGTGCTGTGTGGTTGGGGAGGGGCGTTAGGGGGGGTGTGAGGGGTGTTGGGAGGGGTGTTAGGGGTGTGGTTGGGGCTGTGGGCGTTGGGAGGGGGAGGTTGGTGGGTTCTGCGAGGAA